TCTCTGTTTCCTGCTCGCGAATGATTGAGCTTGTCCCCTCACATCCTTCTACTCGGAACAGCAACAAGCCCAAGTCATTGCCAGGATTCAAGACGAGATGAACGAGATTGCGGCGCTGGAAGAGGCCCCCAAATCCACCGGTGCGTCATGGCACCAAGCATCGCTCTGCCCAGCTTTGTCCTCCACCTTTCATCGTCGTAACCCGGCTGCCCCTCACATGTCGCTCCCCATCTGCACACTTTGGTTTTCAGGAGGATATGGCACCGGCATGATCGCTACACTGCTGCCCAATTTGGAGGCGATCGAGGCCCTGCGCACTGCTGCCAACGACAACGATGACAGCGAGGAGGATGATCACGACACCAACACCTTAGATAGCAAGTAGTGCAGATCTTCTACCCTGACTATATGGTAAACAAGGCGTTGAAGATTTCTTTGTTCATGAGACGGAACCGCTACTGTAATTTTACTTGAGCATATGATCTGCATGATGATGGAAGGCAAAAGGCTGATGCGCGAACCGATTCACATGTCGAAAGAAAAAAAAAATTTCGATTATGAAAACGTATCAGTTATTAGAACATGTACTTCCTTATCGTTGTCCGGAGAAAAAAGACTTACGTTCACTGCCAGCGGTAAGTAAGCCTTCAACAGGTGAACTGACATGGCTTGGGCGCTCGCAGCCAGCCAAGTGTGCTGCTGCAGGCAACATCTCTTTGCTGTTACGCGAACATGACAAAGCAATACGCTGGCTTGAGATCAGGGCGTCGTCATGACCTCCGAGTAGAGAGGCGTTGTCAGGAACACAAAACACAAGACAACCACAGAAACAAACATTCAACGAAAACATGAAGTGCATGGGTTCATATGAACAGCAGCAAGCGACAAGACGGCACACTCCAACCAGGAAACAAGACCGTCAGGTCAACGGAGCAGCTCACAAACCTCGAGTGCAATGCAATCAGTCTGGCTCGAACAGTTGCTGCAAACCACAACATGGGCGGAGCGGGTGTTCCAACCCAGCCCATGGATTGCTATGCTAGCCCAGCCCCAAAACTGAGGTGCGCACAACAGGATCAGATGACTTCTGCCAAACATCACCGGGCAAGACTTGACGAGTCGCGCAAGGCACACGGTGTACGATGCAAAGGACTCACACAAGGCGCAAAACTTGGCGCGCCAAGACCTTGTAACTTCCGCTCAAGTTGTTGCTTAAGAGCAACAGGCTACCAAAGGCATGACGCGGTGCTGGGAGCTCATTGCGTAGCCATCAAACCAGTTGATTAAGCCACTTTGAGAGAAGTTCGTGCCCACCAGATGCAATTCATCAAGCAGGCTCAGCCAGATGTGAATGCCGTGGACATGACAAGGTGGATAAGCCACCTAGGATGTGGAATCCATAGAATCCGGGCTGCGGCGGGTGGCAAGCTGAGCAACGCGCTGCTTGAGGCGTGCAATCTGAGTGTCCTGGTCCACAATGCGCGCCATGAGCTCTTGGCGGGAAAGGCCTTCGAGATCTTCAAACAGGGTGTTGGTGAGCTCCTCGTCAAACTCATCCTCCGTGGTGCTCCCGTCTGAGTGGCGATCTTGCAGCATCTGTTCAAAATCAAGCTCATCGTTCTCCAAAGCTTCTGGATCAAAAATAGCGGCGTCGGCGCGAGCCTCTCGCTCCTCCATGATGACGCCAGCGGTTAGGCGGGGAGCGGCGGGAACCAACATTGTCTCGGTGGTTGGGCCAGACTTGCGCTTGCCCGACTTGGAGTTGTTACCCTCGCCATCGGTACGAGTCTGATCGCCGTGCTTGTGCGTGCTGCTAGCACCGCGGCGTTTGGCCCGTTTGCGGCGAGGCTGTTCGACGAGTACCTCCTGTGTTTCTTCGGGCTGATCATACTTGGCAGCATCTCGCAGTTCCAGATCACGACGTTCCTCCCAGGTGAGCTCTGAATATGGCCGCCAGTGACCTTTACGGTTGCGACGCGCTCCGCGCGTGCCACGGCGCGTCTTCTTCTTGGTGGCAGATCCTTGTGCAGGGGCCGGAGGGAGTGTTGAATCGCCCGGGTTGTTGTTCGTGGAAGCCTGTGCATCTTGAGGTGGTGCCGGCGTGGCAGTGACTGCCGGTGCGGCGGTAGTGGCAGGCGCCACTTGGGACTGTACATCAGCCATCATTGAACGTAATGACAGATCGTTGCGGAGAGGGAGCAACGAGAGGCACAAATGGTCAGTTCGAGTCAGGATCAAAATAATGGAAAAGGGCAAAAGAGCATTCAACGAGGGTATGTACCCAAATGAAAAAAGCTATGCGACTCGCCGAATCAAGCCGTAAGAGTGATCAAGATCACTTCTTTGCGGAAGATTTCTCTCCTTTGTCAAAGGATACCAGGGTTGCCAAACCCAAGCAAGGGGCGGGGGCGGCTTTGGTCGTGTGACAGGTTCCAACCGAAACCAAAGGGGTGGGATAGCCAACGTTAAGGACAAGGCCGATTCACGAAGAGGAGGGCCACGCGTCGAGTTGAAACAATCAATCGACCAACAGACCAAAGTTGTAGGAGGCCAAAGTTGTAGGAGACGCACGCGCACGCCGAAGGGAATAGTTCAGCGCGAAAAGAACTTCTTTCGCCTGCGCAGTTGTGTGTGATTGGTCACGTTTGAGCGTGTTGAAGGCGGCGGTCTTCGAAAAGGCGAAAAGAAAAATGCAAAACGGGCCCGTTAAGAAATGGGCAGAAGAAACCCTCAGGCCACGCCAGACGTGGAAAGCGTCTACCTGAACGCGGGCACAAAACCGCAGGTGCAAGACGTCAGGTGGTCTGTTCGTCAAGCAAAAAAAAAGGGGGCTTGCGTAGTAGCCGGTTATTGACGGCAACCAAGCCACGAAACGAGCGGCGAGGCGTTTTCCAGAGGCACTGCGCAACAACCGATTGGTCTCAATCGATTAGTCAAAGCGAAATGATCGCATCTGTCTTTCAGCAGGCAACCCAAAGCGCGCACCCAGCAACATCAACCGGCAGCGTCACAAAGCGCGAAGAAATTAAAAAAACTGCCACACACCACACACACACACACCACACACACACACACACACACACACACACACACACACACACACACACACACACACACACACACACACACACACACACACACACACAGAAAGACAAAGGGGAAAAAAAAAACTTTTTTGTAACGTTTACAGACGAAGGGGGTTGGAAAGATAGGGCCTGCCTTCCGTTCAACCGCCGGCGTCAAGGAAATGTAGAGGAAAGTAATGATGCCTTGGACATGGTCGGAAGCCTTTTCCAGAGCAAACACGAAAGGCTGCATTTGCAAAACGGCGCTGCCATTTCGACCCGCGCGGGCATCAGCAGCGCGCACACCACGACGACCCAGACGAAATCCCAAAGGGACGCGCAAAACCGGAGACGCTATAGTTTTGAGGGGATTTATACGCGTTTGTGTTATACTCCCGTCAACATCAACAAGAAGTGTCGACAATTCCGTTTCAGAGGAGGGGTCGTCAAACACTATCATTTTACCTGTATTTTTGATGGTATATCGTTTTAGAAAATCATTTCCCGCCGAATTTCGACCTGATCGTGTGATGCAATCAACAGCGACCCCGATCCTTTTGGTCTTTGGGGCCCTCGCCGCCTGACTGATGGACTGCCTTGGGCACTGCCTCATTGCCAGGTTGTGGCCTGAAGTGGCTGTGCCTTTCCAATTGACTGCCGAGGCAGTTGAGCAGCAAAAGGCAGTGCAGGCGTTGAGCAGTGATACGATCAGCACTCCGATAGTGCGAAGTATGAAGCAGATCACATCCAAATCCATCAACAAAAGTGGAAATATGCTGACATTGCTCGGCAGGTCGGCAAGAATCCAATCTTTTACAACATTTACCTATTAAGCTTCCAATGTTTTTTCAGTGTTATATTCATCGATATCTACCAGAAGTAGATCTTTATCTACATCAACTACCGATCCAGCCCTCTTCAAACGGACACATTTCCCATACCGCGCGCGCTCGTCCGCCCACAACACACATAGGGACGGGACCGTCTCTATCTCTCTCTCTGTCTCTCTGTCTCTCTCTCTCAAACTCTCTCTCTCTCTCAAACTCTCTCTCAAACTCTCGCTTTCAAACTCTCTCTCACTCTCTCTCTCAAACCCTCTCTCTCAAACCCTCTCTCTCAAACTCTCAAACTCTCTCGCTCTCAAACTCTCTCTCTCTCTCAAACCCCCTCTCTCAAACTCTCTCTCTCAATCGCTCTCAAACTCTCAAACTCTCTCTCACACATCTCTCTCTCACACATCTCTCTCTCTCTCACATCTCCCGGCATCCGAGTTTGCCCGTGTGGGTGGTTCTCCCTGTTTTCTACCCCTCTCTGTCTTGTCTTGGGTGGCTGTCCCCTGTTCGTGCCTGGCCGTTGCGCTGGTCGATTCGGGACCTTTGCCTCGCTGTTTCCCCCCGTGTTTTTGGATTTGGCGCACTGTTCCGGCACTGCTTGCCTGTCTGCCCAATCATCCTGGCTGCTCGCTCGCTCGCTCGAGCGGTGGTGGGGTGAGGACTTGTTCGGCCTCTCAACGTGCTGCAAGGCGGGTCAGTCCAGGCTGCGGGCTGGTCGTGGTGCTGTGCCAACTCGTGTATTCTACCCCACGTTGCGAGTTCTGATTCCTGAGGCCCGGCTGAGTGGGCCTTGGTTGCACGCGGTGGGTTTGGGCCCTGGTGATCTGGACAAGTTGGCCAATGATTGATGGCATGACACCCTTGATTTGCTTGCCGTGCGCTCACAAACCCCATATGGCCTGCCAGCAGGTTTGTTCTGGATCATGATCCGCAGCAACGCCGGCGCCATGTCGACTCCTGTCGATAAAAAGGAAGAAAAGCGCCTCAAAGCCGAGGAGAAGAAGCGCCAGAAGGAGCAAAAGGCAGCTGACAAGCTTGCCGAGAAACAGCGCAAGGCCGCCGAAAAGTTGGCCAAGAAGCAGGGCCAGAAAAAGAGCAAAGACAAGACCGACACCGACGCAGACCCTGCTCCTGCTCCTGCCCCGGCCCCGACCCCTGCCGCGATTCAAAGCGAGCCTGAGAAACAACCCGAAATTCAGTCGGCTCCCGAACCTCAACCCAAACCTGAAACTCAGCCTGCGCCCGAGACCCAGCCCGAACCCGAGGCTCCTGCACCGGAAGAACAGCCCACAACTTCCATAGAAACCGAGGCTGAGCCCCGGGCTGAGGCGGTCAGTGAGGCTGAACCAGAACCAGAACCTTCTGCCGAGCCCCAGCCAGAAGCACCCATCGAGACCCCCAGTGCAGAAGCTGCCCAGCCCAAATCCGAACCCGAACTTGCACCCGAATCCAACCCAGAGGCCGAGTCAGAAGCCGCCTTGGCCGTAGTCGAGCAAGTCGATGACACACCTACTCCTCAGCAAGCCACAGTGGTCATTGAACCCGCCATTCCTCCTCGTATGTCCCGTCTTGGCGCCGCCCTCTCCACCCATGTCAGCATCATTCTTCTCTGCTCACAAGCCCTTCTCACTTTCTTGTCCTTCCGCCTTGATTCGCCTGATTACCACACCAATAGCCGTCGCACCGCGCTCTAGCCAAAATGAAGCCACCTCCACCTTCTCTCGCAGTCGCAGCCGGTACATGTCTTTTTGCCCTGGCTGTGCAACCATCCAATTGCTCTCCCCTGGCTCCTCTCGAGGTTGCTCATGGCCTTGCTGTTTTGGTTTTTTTTTTTTTTTTTTGTAAGATCCTCGCTGCGAGGTGCCCCTGCCCAGCTCCTCCCGGGTCAGCGCGCTTCCCGCCCTGCTTCACAGGAAATCCTCTTTCACGAAGTGGACACGGTTGAAGACGAGCAAGACTCAGCCGTTGG